AAAAAAAACCGGAGACCAAACACTCTATTTACGCATGTTAGAAGGGATCGGACATTATTCCTAATATCTTCGTCTTAAAAACTTTGAGCTAACCAAAGCTTGTATCAATTATTTTGTTTATATTTTAAGATCCGCTGTTTAAGTATTCCTTTAGGAATGATTGTAAATATTCACGGTATTACTAAATACACTATAGCTGTTTGACCCAGCACCGAGGATGAACTTCTTCGGCTATATATATTTTTATTATACTGACCCGGAAATCTTGCAAACGACTTCGCTCCTTGGTCTGTGATGGCAGAATTAGCAGCCTTGCACATCTTCAGAGAAATAACAAAAACAAATAATGTAGGTGGATGAGCAAAACTATACACCTTTTTTTCAATAAATGCTAGAGACCCTCTCTTACTTGATTACAGACTTATTTACCTTGGGTTTGCCTCATTTTATAGTCAAAAGTTTCACAAATACCAAAGGTAAACTAAAGATTGCGCGATATTTACATCTGTAACACATAAATTCCACGGACCTTTACTGGAACATACAAATATGCCCACAGAAAATGGAGGCCAAGCCTATTGATACCATACTAGAGTATTCATACCTCTGATTGGAGTGAACGTTTCATGGAATGTTCAATCTGTCTAGAAAACAAATTGTACAGCCAGCTAAATAAAGAAAAAAAAAACTTTAGGTAAGTGCTGTTGTTTTTGGTAGAGACTACCAAATAAATCCTAAGTATAATTTTAACAGATTGGAATACTGGCAAAGCTTATTGGACAAGAATTGATTTGAATAGCAGTGATTGATGGTTATGGGGCGTCATCACCTCTGTATCGTGATGACGACTTATAATATCCCATGCAAAGGAACTATAAGGAACGAAATGCCATGTTCACGTTTCTTCAATCCTATCATTTTAATTGCAGTTATCTGCTGTACGTTGCGCTAGTTCGTAATGATTTTCAAACAACGAAACATCAGAAGACATGGCGGCCATACCATGTTGGTTGATATAACAAAATTGACGACAAAATTTTGGGAAATTTAACTAAAATATTGTGCTCGCCGAAACCAACAATAGTGTAACTTACCTTGCACCACCAGAAAAATGAACATCAACTCCTCCAACAATTGCAGAGCATCCTGCCGGTGCGATAGYTGGGTGTCCTTTAGAGTTGGCTCCTATCAAAAGAATAATTTTCATGCTTAATAACATTTGAATAAAGCGCTTTATAAACATAAAGATACCTTAAGAAAAGCTGCCGCCTAGCTCACAACGATGAGAAGAAACCTTTCTGTAGACCTTTGTGTTTCCTTGAGAATAAAATTCTTTTTAAATTGCATCCACATTCATGTGTCTTAAAATACTAGGGAATTACACTTGCTTGGCAATCCTTTAAGTCAATCCCTTACTCTTGAAAGAATAAATTATTCCTACACTTCCGGAATCCTTCCAGGTAGTTTTTGTTCGATTGTTTGGTATGCTAATTATCACTATTGTTTTGGTATTTTCAAAGGAGATTTCACATTTGACTATGAAAAGAGATTTTAAAAAGGATTGTGGTAGTTTAGGTATGAAACGTCATTACGGTTAGGGTTATGTATGCAACGTAGAACACTTAAGAATTCTAAGGAACTTCGCTGGAGCACATGAATATTCTATAAAAGGCTGATGCCATCCCTCGGCAACAGCGAATTCGAAGGTGGGGTATTAAAGAAACTGAGCCAATCGGTTGAAAACCACAAACTAAATTCTACATCAATATGTCCAGCTTACCAATCTTGACTAACTCATTAAAAGAAATACCATTGGCTTTCAAGCTAAAGTGTCCTTTGTCCTTGATGTGAGGCCTATCATTTTAAAATGATAAGAAACATGTCATTTTTATTTTTCATCTGGATATTAACAAGACTCCCTGGTTTGGTCGATTAGTCTTCAACAGAACCTTTTAGCTTGTGCGTAATGTTTTACCATTGCCCTAGAGTATCATTGCTTTGTTTAACGATGGCGCATAAGAAGACGCACGAACAATATGGGTACATATCAAACGCTGTAATAACCTTATCACTCAACGAAATGACACTTTGGCGGAAAACATTACGCTAAAGGCAAAAAGATATAAAAGCAATCAGTGCGGGAATCTACATAAAGCCCGAATAATTTTAGGTTATCAGAACGGCCTACCAGTGGTCTCTGCGATAATGCCAATCTCCACTCATGTCGATATACACGYCTGCTACAGACAGTTCAAGGCCAACTGAAGGTTTGGTCTTCAGCGTCAGTGTTGGAATGGAGAAGCTGTTCACCTTCATACTATTGAGAAAGGAAAAATAAGAATCGTTGTATGTATTATCATTTTAGTCATCTGTGTCATCAATTATTGAGTCTGAAAAAAGTAAAAGGAAGAGGAGGAGAAGGAACAAGAAGAAGATAAAGTACAACAATAATAACAAGAACAAGAAGACCATGATTTTGTGAAGACGAGGAAAAGCAGTAGCAGCAGCAGTAGCAGCAGCAGTAGCAGCAGCAGTAGCAGCAGCAGTAGCAGCAGCAGTAGCAGCAGCAGTAGCA